TATAATATTTTTTTAATTTTTTTAATTCTTTTAACAATCTTAATTCTTTTGACGTTGGTAAAGATTACCTAAAATCCATAAAAATTCATAAAGTTAATCTTTTGCACTATCACTCGCAAAATATCGTCGCAGAAAAATACGTATATAATAAATGACTTATGACTTGCTAAATTTAAGTTAACATACCAATGAAATTTAAATATAAACACAAATTTATTATTTTTAAAACTAAATGCATAATGAAAATGTAGTACATATAGAAAAGGCAAACTGATACAAATGTACCTACAAGTATCTACAACAATGAAAACAATAAAATTTTGCAAATACTTTTTGTTTACTGATAAGAATAAACTTTTTTTGTTATAATTTTTATTATTATTTGTTGTTTTTGCTATAATTACTGAACTATCACAAATGAAAGGGAGAGTCTTTCTTATCAGAATCCAAAAGTTATTGTTTGCGACAATGTTTGTTAGGTTAGGTATTTCGTTTCCTTTATTTTTATTCTGATTTTATATAAACTCGTACGTACACATATTTCATAAATTTCTTTTTTTTTTATTGATAAGATACGGCCAGCCAGCATATGCATTTTCCAATGTCTGAAAAACGTGTGCTATAAACAATACCACAATAGTATGTTTACAGGTTCGTACAATACAATATGTGACTTTAACCTTGGCTTTGGGCATAATAAACAGTCATTATTCTCAGTTAAAAGAAAGTACAACAAGTTATGAATTATATGGTATTAAGTTGAAGACATAAAGTATTACTTCGATGTCTGCTCGCTAGCTTGGTGGGATTTCCAATCGCACAAATTTTGTTAAATCTATATGATAAAATTATGTGTATATATTGTGAGCGTTATAGACTAATTACACATTGAACAAAAATATATAGAAACTTCAATTTAAATTAAATACAAAAAATAATATTATTGTAAAAATTTTCACACTGTGCGGTCAAAGGTGAATTTCTAAGTACAAAAAAAAAATAAAGAAAAAAATTAAGTGCAACCAAAATATGTAACACAAAAGTATTACAATATTATTTAAGTAAAATTTTAGAATTTTTTTTAAAATAGTTACATCAAAAGCTTTCTATTTTAAGGAATTAGAAATAATTAGTTGTATTAAATATTAAATACTAAAAGTTGTTTTAGTTGAACTTTGTCCTTAATATCCAAAGCATCTTGAATCTCTAAGTATAAATGAAATGATTTGTTATTTAATATTTTTACGCTTAGTATGATATAGAAATATAGAAATTACATATATATATTATATATATATATAATATATGTATATGATATATATATATGATATATATATATATATATGATATATGTATATGATATATATATATATGATATATATATATATAATATCACATACATATCATATATATATATATATATAGATAGGTATATAGATATGATATATCTACTACAATAATTATTGCTAATTATTTAATATTATTAAAAAATTATTAAGCAACCTCTAGTTACTTAATTTAATATAATTGCGTTTTTTAATACATATATATTGATGTATAATACCTAGTTATAGTTTTTGTGATTCAAATATATTTTTTACAGTGTTTGCTTATTTTTATATATAGTAAGGAATTACTTTCAACATTAATTTAATTGCTTTTAATAATTTTATACCCTAAAATAATAAAAATATGATAAATTTCTGAAGTCATTATTTGCATTAAAGTCAGTAAAATATTTAACTATTTGATAACAAAGCTTAAATATTTATTGTAAAGATCAAAATCGAGTAACTATATATAGTAGATAGATATAGACAAAATTTTGTTTTAGATAGTCAATACGGATTTTAATTAAGTGACCACAAATGTGGCCTATTCTATGTATTTTTAAATCTAAAAATTAAATTCTATAATTCTTTGTATTCTTTGTATTGTAAATTGTACTTTCAAAATTGTAATATTACTGTGATAAAAAAAAAAAATAACTAAGATAACTTTTTCATGCACATTTTTTAGTTCATAAAACTACACACAACATGTTTCTTTGAAAATATAATCAAATGAATTCTAAAAAATACACAACAATTTGTTTTAAACTGATATATAAAGTTTACTTTCATTTAATATAGAAGAGTGAGTGAGTAATGCCAAAGTGTATCAATAATAATAATTACAAGAAAATAATTTTAAAAGGTTCATTTGTCTTTGAACTTTAGATGTTTCGAATTTCGATAAAATTTTTTATATCAAATTGTCGACATGTATGTGTATTTCATTGAGTAAAAGCCAAGCTCTCTGTAAAAGTTCAAACAAAATCCTGTTTTGGTCAGTAATTTTTAAATGGTTTTATATTGTATATATAACAAAAGCAATTCTACAAATTTCTGTATTAAATTATAATAAAAGTTTTACCTTTTTCGACAGAAGTATGCAGTTTATTCAAAGCAATTTATTATTTTTGTATGAGGTATTTTGTGGTTAAGATCTCTTTGTTCAAGGTTCAAAGGTTGGGAAAGTATAAACTAACTTTCATTTTATAAAGGAAATAAATATAATAATAAGGTTTAAATATTTTTATATTTATAACATTACTTATTGGAATTTATATCTGTAACAAATAAATTTGAATGCTATTTTTGTTGTGACCTAGGAACTTTTGTTAGGTTCTCAAATAAATATTCGCATTCTAATTTCCGGCATTAGTATTTTTATAAAATTAAATTTTATGAAAAGTTATTAAAAAGTCTATATGTATATATATTTTCATATATAGAATATAATACAATTATTGTTATTAATATTAATAATTTATTTTTCTGATGATATTTCGACTAAAGTCGATTGTCATCATTCGGAAATTCAGATAATAAATATATCATGTATATTAACAATCTTTTTTTTATATGTTACTAAAGACTCTAAAAAGTATATATGAATTTTTAGTTATAAAAATCGGGTTTTCATTAAAAATTAAGAGTTAAATATTCTATTTTTATTTCAAATAAATCTCTTCAATAATTCATCATGTTTTTATATAAGTGCATTTCAATCATATCTGTTGCAGCTGTGAAGAAGACGATGAGAGTGCCTCTCATTTACTCTGGCTTTGCTTAGCTCATGTACGGCGTGCTACTACTTTAGTAGTAGCCCCTTTCTTAGGAGATCTTGGGGTTCAATTACAAGACTTCCCACTAAACAGCATTCTGAGCTACGCCAAAGGTTGTAGGTGGTCTTAAACTCTAAGTTTTCCTTCTATATACGGTAACGCAACGGACCAATAGGTCTAAGTGGATCCCCTAGAAATCACGGGTATAACCCAACCTATATAAGTGCATCCCAAAGTTAGCACAAGCTAATATAAATAGCAATTAGATCTTCTGCTCAAATTTTAGTCAAATATATGCGTATATATGTGGAAACCGTAGTAATATACAATAGTAATATATTTCTAAAATTAGTGACTAGTACATATATACCTAGAAAATTTTGTATATTAGTTGATTGAACAGTAGTAATTCTACTATGTTTAATAAAATATACAATTTTATTTGCACTTAAAATTTATTCCCGCTGTTCTAATTTCATGTTACAAAATAATATTATCTAGAGTCACAAATGTGAAAATAGAAAACGCATTGCTACTGTTGCTATCAATAAAGATACTGTTCATTGTATCCTTTACAAAGCCAAATTCCATTAAATTGTAAATGCTACTTTTGCTTTGAGAATATTCCTTATAATTTCTTTACATATACGTTTCGACATCGCTCCTTTGCTCTTTGACAAGTGTCTTTATTAAATTTTTTCTTTCAAAATGGAATACGCGTGCTGTGATTTTTCCTTTCATTTTCTTTTTAATAAAGTTTTTTCATATTTTTATACATGTGCTGGTTTGAGTTGTATTTTATTTTGAATAAGCAAATTTTAATGATAATTTAGCAGCATAAAAGCAGGGACACTATTAAAGATTTAAGCCAACCAGCTTAATGTAATCATAAAAACGGCAATGCAGGGCATGTGAAATAATGTCATTATAAGCTTTCCCCAATTTCTCATTAACGTCTTTTAAGAATCAGTACTTTTTGTTTTTATGAAATAATTTCTTCTTGATCTAATTATGATTTAAATTAGAAGCCAGTTATAGCGCTTTCCTTCCATAAATCAAATTTAAAGGATCTGAACTTAACTTTTAATTTATATCTTATAAAATTATTTATTTATTTTCATTAAATCATTATAAAAGTATCTTTATAAAAGGTTTCTTTTTGCACAGTTTTCGTTGCAATTTAAATCCTTAAATTTTTTGACATTAACAACACTAAAAAAAAAGTTTTTAAGCTGAATGCAAAATACCATTTAGTGTCAATATTGTCATCGTATCAATATCCTGCCTGTAGTAGTAACTCATAACTCCATTAGTATCTTTTGCTACTGGCAGCTACATTGATATTTTCATTGGAAAATTCAATACAAACTATTTTTTTTCAATGCATTTTTTTTTGTAGCTGTGCGCTATCTGTTTGGCTTAAAACATTTTAAATTAAATTTTGTTTTTAAATTAAAATCAAAGAACTCGTAAGTTTATTTAACAGTAAATAATTGAAGTTGAACGTTTGGACATTTTTATTTCTCTGAAATAATATTAATTTCATTAAAAACAAACGATTTCAGAAAGTTTAAAATTTATTGGTAAAATAAAATATTTTATTCGTAATTAAGAAAAAAAATTCATATATATTATATGTATGTAAAATATATATAATATAATTGTAATGTGACAAGTTTTAGAACTTGTTTTATGAAAGTTCAATCAACTAAGATGAGGAAAAGAAACAACTTTGATTCAAATATTCATTAAATAAAAATGTTGTTAATTACATCTGTAATATAATTTAATTTTTCCAAAAAAAAAAAATTAAACTTTATTATATTAATGATTCATTTATGTTTTAAAGAAATTTTTTATTAATTATTTATTGTTATTCATTTTTTTTCAGCTCTTATATACACATGTTATAAACAAACCGTATTGTTGCATCAAATATTTAAGCAGGAAGAGATAATATTTACTGATTAGAGGTAAGTAAAGTAAAATACTTTTAATTTAATTAATTTATAAAATTTTTAAAAATATAATTTACTGTTCAATTAACATTTTAAATAGTATTCATGTATTATATATAAATTTATAATGTATAACAATTTATTTTATTTCATTATTATTATATTATATTACTCATTATTCGGTATAAAAATATTTATTGTAATTATTAAATTATTATTATTATTTAATTTAATTTAATTTATTGTATTTATTATTTTTATTTATTATTTATTGTTTTTATTTATATATAAAGTAAATAAATTGTTATTACGACCAATATTCAATTAGTTTTTATATTTGTTACTCGGCTTAGGTCATTATATATTGAAAACGGTCGAACTAGACCGAAATATTTGTAATATAAGTAAATTTGTATTAAAATTAAAATATAACCTAACATTTAACACAGTTTAAGAAGTGTAAAACATTTTTATAAATTTATGTTTTAAATAAACGACCTAAGCTCAGTATCAAATATAAAAACTATATAAAATAAAGAAATAAATAATAAATATTTTATTTATTATTTTTCTTTATATATAAAATAAATATAAATGTATTCTGTATATAAAAAATCGTAATTAAAATAATTGTAACAGCTTTATAGTTAAAATTGAAATTAATGTGAAATAATTTATATTATTTTCTTAATTTTTATTTGCAACTATAGTTTAAAATAATTGTTCAATTAGTTTAATACAACACTATATTAATAAATTCGGTCATAAAATAATAAGTATATAATTTTATTTTATTTTTTATTGAAATCAAAAAATTAAAAAAGTATTTAAATTTAAATTTTTTAAATTAAATACATACAATACATACAATTCCAAATAAGTTACTACAATACTATATAATTGAAGTTCCATTGCTCATGTACAATATATAAAATATAAGTTTTAATACAAATTTGATACTTAACTGAAAATAGAAAATTTCCCCCTATTTACCCGCTTTCATTATGTTCCTTACTTCTTGTGATAGCATTGCCCATAATTTCAGTATTTCTTCAATTGCTTAAACGCAAAAATTTCCATGTTGTCAATAGATACCATTGATATCCGTTTCCGTTCTAGGCCATATTTACGAAATCGTCAAACATCCTTATTTGTTGTGCATGTGTTTTGCAATGCCATATTTCAACAATAAATATTCTTTAAGTTTTGTTTACATTCATTGCTTCAATTGCGTAGGCACAAATATCAACAAAATATCTGTCCGTGCCTGTTGTGATATTTCCATGTTTGTTTTCGTGTATTTTCTTAAGAGAAGTAAGCTTCTTTTCTATTTTGCGCTAATATCGCTTTTCAGATACACACATTTCAAATGCGCTTAGAACACACATTTGAGTTACTTAAAAACTATGAGAAAAGATATATCAGCTTACATTTTATTAAATATTTAATACAAAAATGTGAGTAGCTTAATTTTTATAATCTGTTTGCAATTTTTTAATTTTTAAACTCAAATTAAAAATTTTTAATTACTAATAATTAATTGAGCGCAACCCACATTAATTAGAATTTTATTAAAATTTACATTAATTTTAATAATTGGCAAATAGCCTAATGGGTTTTATGTAAAAACAATTTTTTTTTTTGGTAATATTTCTTTAAATTTTACCATTTTTCTCAATTAAAAATTGGGTTGTTTCTTAATGTTTTTGTTGTATATCTAAAACATAAATAATTGTAATTATTAAAATAAATCAAAGCAAATACTACTTTTAAAAAAAATTTCTTCAAACGCTATTAAGTATTTTTTTTTGGTATAATTAAAAAAAAAAATTCCTTTGTTTAAAAGTGCAAATCAAATAAATTTTTGTATATCGGGTTTTGTAGGAATACAGGGTCTTACAACAAAGTTTAAAAATATGTAGTATTTTATTGTTATTTATTTTATTCCGATATAGTTGACTATTTGAGATTTTTATTATTATTATTTTTCACGAGAGAATTTACAGTTGCACTTAGAGACTATGGCATCTCCATGAACTGAGAGTAGATTTCCAATTCCAACTTCCGCTATAAATTGTATTACGAGTTTTGACTCTGTATAGATGTATTTCTTCATTCGATATGAGTTGCTTACCTAGGTGTTTTCCTCGTTTATGCTATAGTGCCGTGCAAATTGCTCGTACGTGTTTTGAGGTGTCATTCTCTTCTCTGCAAAGCCAACAAGTTTTTTTAGAGTAAGTTCTCGGTTTTGTTAAATGATAGTTTAACTTACAGTCCGCTATAAAAACTTCTTCTTTAAATATCGAGGTTTTAAATTGTAAACTTTTAACATTGATTACACTTACAAAAATTACACATGCTATTTATTCCCAAGTAGTACATGCAATGTTATATTGATTAGTGAAATTACTAAAGGAATAAGTATATTTTTTTTAAAATTTATAAAAAAATCAGAACCGTAGTTATTACTGAAAATACTCTAAAATAAGAGATTTTCGGGAGACTAGTAGAAAATTACAAACTTATACTTAGTTCACAAAAATTAATTGTCTTATCTTAAGACATATTGTTTTATTTAATTTCTGTGTATTTTGCGAAGATTTTCCTATTTAAATTATTTTAAAAATTGTTTTAAACTAACAAATACTAAATTCAAAGGACCTGTTATGTGCTATGTATGCTATTATCAAGCATAGTTTGCCGCCATTGTTGACATATAACATGCTTCTGTTATTCACTATTCAGTATTCACTGCTAACATCCGCCAAACACTTGACGTTATGGCTTACATTAGCTTTTCAGTTTTTCTTATCCGTATTTGTTTTTATTTCCGTTGCTAGAATGCGTCATTAAAGTGTCCTTATTACAAATGTGCTTAAGTGGATATGCAGCTTTAGTGGCATTTTAGTGGATCTTACAAATCACAGCATCATTTTACTTTCTTAAAACTGGAAATAGTGAAAGTTTTTAAGTGTGCTAAGAACTTTGTCTCTTTACTGGCTTTGTCATTTGGTGTTATGCAAAATAAGTCAAGTTTTAACCCGAAGCATTAGGTTTGTTAGGTAGGAAGTGGTCGAATATTTTAATGGTTAATTTACACTATTGAAAAGGGTCCAATTAGTAAGTTGTATGAGACACATAAAATTTTTTATTTCATATGAAAAAAAGCTTTATGACGAAATACACAACTTATTCCAAATAAATTAACAAAATTATAATAATTTTTTATTTTTTTTTTGTTGGTATTTAAGTGACACTTGTAATAATTTATGTTCTGTCTTAATAGATGTGCTGTTTCATTAATATTGTTTATCTATTTTTTTAAATATCAATTAAGGTATTTATGAACCCATAAAACTTTTGTCAAAATTAATCATCATTATAAAATTGTTTACGTATATTTATAAATTATAGTTTTTTTAATATTAATTTTATAAATTATATTTGTTAGCAAAAGCATGAAATTATTTAAACAAACTTAATAGAATACGTTATCTTTGTTTGTTTACAATCTTATCTATATATTTATTTTGGATTTAATATAAATTTGAATAGTTTTTTAATATAGTTTGACTCTTTTGTATATTAAATATTTGTTTAGCTTTGTAACTTTTTGTAAAAATTAAGAACCTAAGATAATAAAAACTATTTAATTGTTTGATAGATTTTGTCAACATAAAAATTTGGTGTGCTTAATCTGTAGCAAAATAGATAAAAACTCTTTAGTTTGTCTAAAATAATAATTTTAATAGCAATGCTTAATACATATGCAAATATGTTCAACGCTTAATAATATCTATTTAGTTTTACAATATTAACAATGAATCAGTATATCCGTTATGGTAATAACGTGAGTTACAAAAAGACCGTTAAATTATGAAAAATTTGTTAAAAAATGATTAATGATGGTTTGTTCTTTGTAATTTATCAAATTTCAAATATTTGTAATCAGAGCTTTTCAAAGAATTTCAAATATATCTTACAAAAATATTTAGTAATACATTTTTTCAAAGATGAAAGGTTTGCTAAAATTTGTATAAGCAACATATTATGTTGTAGGTATATATAAACGCAGTAAAAGTATCTCACTTATATCTAGTTTTTTTTCTTTAGAGAAAAAGTAGTAAAAAGTGTATTTGACTCTACAAAATATAAAAGTGATATTTACTAATTAATTCTACAAATATTTGATATTAAGTCGTGCTTTGGTTTTTATTTTTTTATTCTAAAACAGCTAATATATAGCGCAAATATAAATATTTTCAATTTGAAAAGTCAATAGAAAAATTTTTTATTGTAAAAATATTTCTATGTTATAACGGAGATATATGTGTTTTGATAGTTTTAAAATATTGTGCTATCATACAGAAAAATTGCTTATATTATAGCAAAAATAAAAAAAATAAAATTTAATTCATTTATTTCAAAGTATAATAAAATAAAATTTTTCATATATTGCTTTCCTTCTTAATCGATATACCTTCTGCTCAAAAGTTGTCCGGATTTTGTTGTTTGTTAACTACTCCTTAAGTAATAGACCTTTTTGGAAAAATTTTTTTTTTGTTATGTTGGTACACCCTCTCTTGACATATGGTACAAATTTGAGCGCCATCTGTCAATTAGTTTGTTTACAGCAGCTGTTAATGTGAGTCTGCCTCAAGTGCATTTAGCGATTTTTACTATGGAAAATTCTTGCTATACGCGATTTTTTGACCAAACACGGCACCGCTGTCATCGCTCAGGCGCCATATTCGCCAGATATGGATCCGTGCGGCCTTTTCCTGTTCCCGAAACTCAAATTGCCCCTTCGTGGTAAGCGTTTTGAGTCGATTGAATCGGTAAAAGAGAATTCGCTGAAGGAACTAAAAGCCATACCTTCACGGGCCTACGAAAAGTGTATGGAAGATTGGGTTAAGCGTTGGCATATGTGTATCGCTTCAGAAGGAGCATATTTTGAAGGAGATAAAATAAATTTGGTATAAAATTTAAAATTGTGTGTTTTATTTACAAAAACC